CGAAGATACATCAAATTAATTGGGCAGTTCTATCGCTGTTCTCCAAAAGAATATGTGATTAGGCAGTTCTATCGTTGTTCTCCAAACCATGTTTTGATGCATGGACTTGAGAATCAAAAAGAATATGTGATTGGGCATTTCTATCGCTGTTCTCCGCCTTCTGGAGGTCTCATCCACGTAGTAGCTAATTGAATATGGGGTAAAAAGTGTAAGATTTTCGTTCGTAAACTAGGAGAATCCTCATATTTGCTTCATATCCCGGATAAAGGTACTAGAGAATGGGTACTACAGAGAGGGTTATGGCATATTGATGATTGTATTGTGTTTGTTGCTTCATGGAATCATGCTGCTTATTTAGCTTCGCCAGAGATAACTATAGTTCCAGTGTGGGTTACTTTAAAAAACATACCAACTTGTCTTTACTCTGAATGGGGAATTAGTTGGATAGCTTCAGGTTTAGGGGAACCAATGCTCACTCATAAGCCAAGGTTAGACCCGAATCTTATAAGTGAGGCAAAGCTAATGGTGGAAATAGAACTAGATAAGGCTTTTCAACAGAGCATTGCAGCTATAGACTTAAAAGGCAATGTTTCAATGGTAGAAGTTATGTACTCTTGGATTCCATCTAAATGTGAGAGATGTGGACAGTTAGGCCATAAGGAATCTAGGTGTCTCATTCTTCGTCAACCTAATGAAACTGTAATTGCTACACCAAAGGCTACCTTTATTGGTTCACATGAACTAGGTGCTTCAACAGATCCAATCTCTGCTCATGGCTCTGCTGTTCATGCTTCTCCAACCTTTGTTCATTATTGTCATGTTGCTTCTCATGTTGATACTATGGTTACAATCTTTGTCCCTCTCATTGATGTTGAACCAACAACCCCAGTCACTATTAACTTCATTAGTTTGTCTTCTTCAACTGAGTTAGAAAACACTAACTCTTTGTTGGGGTCATATTCCTCCCCATGAATCAACAACCCTGAAAATGACTGTGTTGGGCCGCATCAGCAAGCCGGCTTAATTGAGACAGCAAGTCGAGACTAAACCAGAAAGCCAATGATAAACCGACAGATCGGTGGCCTTTAAGCAAAATGGCCGACCCATGAAGAAGGTCCAGAACGATTAGTCGGTTCGTGGGCTAGCCGACCTTCGAGGCTAGCGGACTTGAAGCCTTCCGCGAATAAAAGAAGATATCAACAGAAGAGGAAGTATTTATTTATCGTTTTGGGTTGAGCCCTTATTACAGGATCTAGTATAAATATTCTTGTACATCCTCAAAAAAAAAGATCCGAAATTCATTAGCAAAAACTCTTGTAACAGTTTTCTTCACAGCTAATAAAAACCTCTCTTGAGATTTTACGTTTAGTGGCTTTCCACAGAAGTTTACAAACCCAAAAAAAAGTTACTTAACATACTTAAATTGTGAGATTCAACCCCCCCCCCACACTCTTCTCACGAAACATTGGTCTTGCCATCAGCCTTCTCCACTGAGCTAATTTACATCTACCACCAATGTAGCGTGCAACTCCTCTCCCATTGCCACAGTCATTACATCAACAATGGGTATTCCTCCTAACTTGGTAACTCTCTCAACCCCTTCTATAGGTTCATTGACTAATGAAATTGTGCAAGGGAATGTCTTTGGTAGCAATCTCTTGGCTGTCTTAGACTCGGGAGATTATTCAGGCTATGAGATAGGTGTTGCTTCTCAAAAGACTAGATCGGTCGATCAAACCTACGTAAAAAGTTCAAAAGATGGAATGGACCACCGTAAGAGGACGAGGTAAAAAGAGACGTGGTGGCCGAAACGATCACGAACAATCTTTTTACAATTTCCAAGAGAGTTTCTTCTCTAGG